AAAACAGAATCGAACAATTGCTTGCTGCAATAACCCCAAAATGCAATACCATATCGTCGATGTGATTCGATTAGAGAAAAATATGTCACCTTACTCATTGGCAGACCTAGTTTCTCAGACACAACTCTCACTGCAAAGCAACCCGATGCCAGTTTTCTGATTAGTCTGAAAGGTGTCCCCCTTTAATTAGAAATCGACGTGTCCGAGCTTTTTTTAAAAATTTTACTTTTTATATTCAAAAACGGCTCTGTTAAGTTTTCGTTGTTACACACTGTATACTAAGTCCATATAGTTTAAAAACCTATGAAAACATTTATATATGTACATACACACACATATACATATGAAAATATTAATTTTTGTTATTAATTTTAAAGTTTTCGAGTGTTTCAATAATTATTCTGCTATTTATGGCGAGGCGAATCCAACAAGTCGAAAATATTTTGAGTAATGAATGGTGTAACTAACAAAATTTTGCGACTTCGTTGTTTTCTTTTCATTACTGACAGAAAGTAATATACCGCTGATCCATTTAAATTCTATTACTAAATTATCGCGAATAGATTCGCATTCCTTTCAAACAGCTACTGAAATGCTTTAAAGACAATGCCCATTAGCTATACCGTCATAAAGTCGCAGAAGTACAATGTGAACAAAACTTCCTCAGAACGTCACGTCACGTTCATTATTACAATCGTAAAATCATGTTGTTTAAATGTCCGACATGTACAGCGTGTAGTAATTTCATCTACCGATTCGGGCAATCTCAATTCAGAAAACGTACTTTCAAGATTCTGGTCATTGCTGTTCACATTCTAATATTTCCCCATCATCTTTGATTTCTCGTAATATTTTTAAAGTATCTTCTCTGCCCCGGCAACATTTCTTGTGATTTTCGTCCGAAAAACAGATGTTATAAAGCAGCTCGGGATTTTGCATTAGTCTCTCACTCATGCCCTCACAAAACTCCTGTCTTCGGTCAAAATCATCCTTATTGAGTTCATGAACAAGTTTAATTTTGTAAGGATGGAATTTGTGGTTTTTAAGGATTCTCCATGCGCTCATATGGCTTATTCCGGCTATTGCTGATGAACCTCTGGTACTTAACCTGGGATTGGCGATGACTTGACCAATCACTCCAATCGCATTATTGTCATTCACTGCTCGTTAAATAAAATTGATGTTCTATTAGCATTTTGGTCGTTGCCATAAAATAAAGCAAAAACTGAAACCCTTTCAGCAGTAGTGTAAGGCATTTTTAACAAATAACAATACACGACCCGTTTAAACAAAACAATCGAACGATGTACTAATGAAAACTGGAAGAGGAGGAGAGGGTATTGATTTTAAAAAAGGGATTTTATTTAACAAAAAACTGATAAGAAGAACTGCTTGAATTTTTTTTATTTAGGCATACAAGTTACTGAGTGGTCTGTCTAATGTATTATTAACATGGCAATTTTAACTTCAAATTATCTCGAAAACTAATCGTTACAAAAATTTTCTTTTAACAGAGTTGTAAAGGTATTCGAAAGACCTTAAAAACAAGGTGCCACTCGACCCACTTTCCCTATCTAAGGGTCGTCGGACGCACCCCTCCGAGGGGGTGCGTACTAACAAAAAATCTGATTAGTCTGAAAGATGTCCCCCTTTAATTAGAAATCGACGTGTCCGAGCTTTTTTTAAAAATCTTACTTTTTATATTCAAAAACGGCTCTGTTAAGTTTTCGTTGTTACACACTGTATACTAAGTCCATATAGTTTAAAAACCTATGAAAACATTTATATATGTACATACACACACATATACATATGAAAATATGCTAAAAACAGATATTTACCACAGTAAAGAAAATGTCCAAGTAAGAAAAACTGTATTTTGTAGTAATGATAGTTATGAAGATATAAAAATGTATTTTGCAGCATTGAGTAGGATAAAAAAAGCGCAGCTCTTGTATTTGTTAGGGATTTTCAGGAATTTTTAGTTTCAGTAAAAAAGTCAGCTGACTGCAATTTTTTGAGTAAGAAAAATGTAATACTCTTGTATTGAATGTAGTTGAATTCGAAATATCATGTAGATGTTAAACTGCCGTTTCGGACAGAGAAGAGAAACTAGCTAATCCAAATATTTTTCAGCTATAACCATTGGCGTGAGGATTGTGGGTCCAGCCCTTGGCTTCATAGTGGGTTCACTATGTACCAGCGTTTACGCAGATCTGTCGGTTGATCCAAAAATTGATTCGACTGATCCAAGATGGGTGGGGGCATGGTGGCTTGGTAATTGAAACCAATATTACTCATTTTCATCATTGTTGTAATTATTTTTGTTGTCAGGTCTGGTTGTTATCGCTGGATTGCTGATGTTAGCATCCCTGGCTATGTTCATGTTTCCCAAACGACTTCCAGGCTCAAATCAGCAGCCAAGAGTACATGATCCAGATAAAAAACATCCAAGCATCAGAGGTGAGTATTTTTTGAAGAATTTTGATAGTGATAGCTAGATAGTGTTCACCTTTGAGATGCTGTCGAAGTTTTTCACCCCTTGGTGGTAGAAAAGTGGTTAACAAAACCTAACAAAGCATTATTCACCTTTCTATAACCTGTGAGATATATGCAGATGGCATAGTTATGATGCAGACCGGCAAATTTGTGAACACACTGTGCGATAGAACGCAGGATGGGCTCAAATTAATAGAAACATGGTGTAAGGAACACTCGCTGTCGATCAATACCACGAAGACTGAGATGGTCCAGGAAAAGAAGCTTATCCGGCTTGAAACCTCCCGAAATCTTCAAAAGCAAACTAAACTTCTCTGAAGAGGTGAAATACGTTGGTACTACCCTCGACAGTGAGCTAACATGGAACTCACTTACAGAGTAGAGCAAAAAGAGCATTTGTGGCTTATGAGCATGGCGTCTTTCACCCCGTGTGGTCACCTGAATCTACACTGCAATAATAAGACCTATGTTAACGTACGGAGCCATTGCATGGGGACCGAAAGTTCTAAAAGCAACGGCAATGGAATTATAACAGGGAAGCCCAAGCGGGGATTTCGGGATTTACTAAAGCGCGGCAGATTATTATACAGGGGGATACCTTATACCCGGTTAAGTACCTCCATCAAATACCATCCACCCCCGCTATCCGAGCGGTCCTCAACTTACTGATGGGCACTTCGGCAAGATTGATATCTGACCTCGCTGACTTCGCTGTTAAGAAGAGATTATGTCGGAAACTTTTCAGTCTTTTCAGTGATGAGACCTAGAAATACCTTGAAAAACTCGGGAAAAAGAAAGCTTATGTGTGCTGACGTGACACACGCCAACTTTCGTTTTCAGGGGAACTGAATTCTACGTTGAAAACAACCCCTTGGCAACCAATGCCGTCCCACAACAACCATCATATCAAAGACTTCAAATGGAACTTATAGACCAGTGAATCTGTAACAATTTTGAGGACACTACGACGATAAGCAATGTCAGAGAAAAATGAAATAGATACGTTTCCAAAATAGTGTTTAATTTCTATCGAGAAAATGAAACTGGGTACCATTAATTTCCACCCTTACATATCAGGGCAGTAGTCTACAGTACCTGGCAATTTCTTTCGTAAATTATCTGAAGAGGTTGGCTTCGCCTCGTAGACTTTCGACTTTAACTATCTCCATCATCAGTCAAATCGGGGTGTCTGGTTGGCCAATCTGTAGAAAATCTCTGTCCAACCCGAACAGTTGTAGAGAGGAAGACCCATCTTGTTAAAAAAACTAGAAAATCTTACTGTATGACTTATAACTTGATTATTCATCATATTAAAAAATCCTTCACCATGTAGGTTTGCTTCCAAAAAGAATGATTAATTTGGTGGATCACGGTTGACTCGTTTTGAGAGGATCGCACAAAAATTCATGCATCATTCTACAAAGACTAGTGCAAACTAGTTCAAGCAACAAGATTGCTGGATGAAAAGATGGACGATAACAGAACAAGCCAATGAGGTTAAATTTTCCAAGCAACCATAAAAATACAGTCTCTCTCTCTTAGGAGAGAATCTAAGGGCTCACTTTGACCAAAATGAAAATATAAAGTTCAACATATTACGTCACACAATGTTAGTATTGAAATTTGTTAATCTGTTACTTGTAAATGTTGAATTCATGATGGACAGACACCCTTGAATAACAATGATTTCATGGTATTTCTGTAATTTGTTTCGTGAATATAAAAATTATCTTAATATCTGTTATAATAACCATGAATGTTTCTATTATGCAAAATAAATTGCTTGAAATATTCCGGATACCATTTAACATTTTATATGCAAAGGTCATTATAAAAAAGGTATAATTTTTTTGGAATGAGACCCATTTAGAGATTTCACCATATCCTCATTGTTGGATTTGCTTGAAGTGTAATTCTCATTCTTCGTTTTTTTTTTAAACTTGACTTCATACCTTTGAAATGAGTCGAACAAACCTTTCATTTGTGGAGGTTCTTTTCACAAAATCCAAGTCCTTCACCTATATCGTTGACCAACTAGTTAACCGCGAACTTCAACGTGAAACGATTGCTGTAGGTCAGGGTTATTTCAGACCTACTACAGATTACCTAGGAAAATTCGAATCTGCTCATCTAATCAACAAGTTCAAAAATCTGTCCATCTTCTACATTTTTTTTTATTAAGTATGAAAGGAAAGTCTTCATAGACTGCTTCTTCCACCAAACGGACTCGTAGCGGATTCTTACCGACTAAAAACCTCTCCTCCTCCTAACCGCCTCCTCCCACCGGAACTGCTTTCGCATTCTTTCAATGGGAGGTGCTGTCTTATTGGCTTGTCTCCATTCTACATGGTTCGATCTTCATTTTCTATTATGAATCGATTTACTCGATATGTGATAATCCAGGTCTCTTCATTGATAGTGAGTGTCCTCCCACCTGACACAGTAGAACAACGAATGTTCTACGTCAACCTGGAGTCCTCAATATGAGCGTTCATCGGATTCCACTTTCCTACGGTCATATAGATACTTTCTGAAGCACCCTTGCCCTGATATCGACTGCCTGAGGTAGTAATCTATCTCTCCGTGTGTCCTCATTGTCCAATCTTGTATATTTGGTATTAAGTGATATGTCCACCTTCCATAAGTGTCGTTATCCTGTCTGGCTCACCATCTATTTGCTAGACTTTCTTCAGTTATGCTTTTAACTGTTTCTTAGGTACCTCTCCCGCCTTTCTTTTATGTGATATTCAATGGGAGGAACTCTAGCTATCATCCCCGGCGCTTCTGCTGACCTTTTACAAACTGGCTCTTCCTATTTTGAAGGTTCTGCAGGCTAGATTGACAGGTACAAAGTTCATTTCCTTAGTTTTATGTAATCACAGACTGCATAATTCGAAATTTGAAGAATCATTACATCAGATCCATATTTGGACCAAAACAACAATAATTATTGTATCCAGCCTTCTTTTGGTGAAAATTGCCAAAATATTAGATGGAAGCATTCTACTGGGAGGAACAAAGTTGTTTAATTTTGTTTCTTTCAATTTTACAGATTTCTAGATGATGGTCAACAATTCCTTCGAACATGTTGAGGTACCTGTCAATACAAGGAATTCCAGCTCGAACATTGAGTTTTTGTGATGATTGTGCATGCATGTCTCGAAAAACTGCAAATTTTTGTAACCGGGACAATGACAGTTTTGCTTCTGCTGCTCAAAAATTTGGTGTATGACAGATTGTTAAGATATCCTTCCCCTCAGAAGGTGATAAGTGCTTTTCTTGCCGCACCACCAAGCTCCCTAGGTTTGTTGGAAAGTTCTGCATCTCCATCCAGAGTTTCCTATCTTGTGAAGGAATCCAAGCACCGTGACAAACCCTTTGTGGTATGAGGAGGAACAAATCCCAGAAAGGATCGAAGGTTAATGATGAGTTTCCAAAGTGTGTGCACTTCATAGTCGATTTTAATTGTCTAACGAAATGGTCTACAATCTAAGAGTTGCACATCCTAAAATATAGGTCCTCATATGAACCTCCTAAAAGATATCGAAGGAACTCTTGAGCATATTGTTGGGCATGACCCATGAATCGAGGGGCAAATCTTTGAAACTGACTTTTGGAGTAGACTATGTTTCTTACTCTATCAGATGAATCTGAATGAAGTTATCAAGGAACCTTAGTTCCTTGATAACTCCTGAGAAAGCAGCTTCTATACTAGAAATACTAGTATTTATATCTTCCATGTATGAATATGATTTGGAAACGGCGGGGTGAAGAAAAATTTCATCCAGTGAATGTGACGATGGAATATTGCCAAAAACAGAAGCTGAATTACCACGCTGTTTTGCTAAACTAACATTTGTCATAGTGGATTGTTCAGTGGGGAGAGTAGGTGTTGTTTTTTCCTGAAAGTCAACCGTGGAGTGGGATGCAAATTATTCAGCAAGTAAATTTTATTTGTTCTTGCCATTGAATCATAAGCTATGCCCGTGAAATTATTAGCCACAATGTGGTGAGTTTCTTTACCTGAGAAATTGTATTCAGAAGTATTCCTGTTGAGCACATTCTACTTTTGAATAAGGAGTACACAAAACTAAAAAGACAGTTCGTATTTCATTGGTGAACCCTCTTTGTGTTATCATAGTGTGCCCAACTTGTTAGTGAAACGTAACCTTATAAATGCTTTTCAGATTTCCCCAAAACTGTAAAAAGACTTCTCAAGAACGATATTCTCATGTATCGAACTGCCAGTACTGTCCTTCATATTCTCCCAATAGCTGGATTGTATACGTTTTTACCGAAATATCTTGAAACACAGTTTCGTCTGCCGACACCCTCAGCCAATATGATATCAGGTAAGTCAACGCAATGGCCCTAATATTGAGAGATCACTATCATCATTAACATCATTTAAACCGTTTATATAAAACGCTTTGATCTCCAGCACTTGCGATATTTTGGTTAACCTCTTGAAAATTTTCAATTTATGGTTTCGGCGATCAACTAAGTTATTATTCAATTTGGCCAAAGCACGTGACTCATGATGCATTTCTGTCGGTTCTTTTGATAATGTAATTGGTCTCTAGAACCCAGAATTGGCCTACTTTCTATATAACGAAGGTTTTATATTTCAGGCCTCGGTGGAATTTTGGTGATGGGATTGGGAATAATTATAAGTGGAGTATTTATTTTGAGGGTCAAACCGAACGCCAGATTTGTTGCAGCTTGGATTGCTCTTACAGCCGTTATCTACGCTATAGGTATTTCTTTAACTTTTCAATGTATTTCGTAGCTGATTTATGAAATTATTCCAGGAATGGGGATACTGATGTTCATAGGTTGTCCTTCCAATGATTTAGCTGGTCTCAAGGACAATGCGTAAGTGCTTTTTTGTCCATTTTGGTCGGTGTTTATATTTGATAAGATACTTAGTCTAATCAACAAGTTCAAAAACATGAAAAATAGAGATAAAGGTCCTAAAAATATGAGCGATAGCTCATTCGATTCGGAATCACCTCTAGAAAAGTGTTTTTGAAGGATTTTTGTGCAGGTAAAAAATTGCAACTGTTAACAAAATAAGAATAAAAAAATTGTATTTGATGTTTCGTTAATAACTCAAAAAAATGTTAATATTCAAGCAATTTTGAAAAAAGCTCGTTAAACATAACATAACATAACACATAACATAAAATGTCATTTTAAAATTTTGAAAAAAATCTAGTATCTTCTTAACATTTGAATGAATCGAGTCCCGTAGAAAAACACATTTTTTTCTCAATCTCCGTTGGCATAAATAAAGGTATAAAAGGTATAAATAATTGGCCTATAAATTTTAAACTTCNTGCACCAAAATCCTTCAAAAACATGTTTCTAGAGGTGATTCCGAATCGAATGAGCTATCGCTCATATTTTTAGGGCCTTTATCTCTATTTGTCATATTTTTGAACTTGTTGATTAGACTAAATTTGATAAGTATTTCCTGTCCTGTCCAAATTTCATCATGGTTAATATATACAAAGTGTAAAAGTAGTTTCTCGAAGAAAAACAGGTATACCCCATATAATCCTCTTCTGATATCTCGTGAAACATTAAATGTTTCAAATGTTGGGAATACAGAGTTTTTATGTTGTACCAGCGGTAGTCAAAAGTGTCAGGAAACAAGTACTGGAGAATCGTGTCTAGAGACAGCTGGCCGAGCTTCTGACAGGTCTGACAACTGGGTATGAACGCTTCAACATTACTTTTTGGATACTTGAATTTATATAGCGATTTCAGTTGGAAGAATGATACTTTGAAAATTGTTGTCACATGTTCATGGAAAGACAAAGAGCTATCTATGGTTACGCCATGATTTTTAGCACTGTCTACCCAGTCAATGTATGCGTTATCGAGAGTGAGCCTAAAGTTACACTGAGTTTCTACTATTTGTCTTTGAGACCCTATGCATAAGGCCAAAGTTTTATTTGGTTTCATTTTCAATTCATGGTTCTCCGAGTATAGAAATGTTTTGTGCAAATCTGTGTTTATATTGGCCACGCAACTTTCTGTATCGCTGTTATGAGAAGACAGTTATAACTGTATATATCATCTGCGTATAGATGTACTTGACAATGTGACAAGGAAGTGAGGTAATCAAAAATAAACACTGAAAATATCAAGGGTCCTAAAATAGTCCCCTGCGGTACACCTGAGATTGTTTCTTTTAGGGATGACCATGAGTAATCAGTTTGACCAGTTTGACCCTCTGTGATCTTCCTGTGAGATAGCTGGTCATCCATTTAAGAGAAATGTCATCGAATCCTATAAACTTGAGCTTGCTGATGAGTAAATCGAAATTAACTAAATGATATAGCTAACATCTTAGCGGTTTTAGAATGGCCGAAATATAAACTCTCGTCGCTGTAACGTAGTAGTCGATTTTTAACCTTGGCGTTTAGATTGTGTCAAATGAATTTATGTATTTGTTGTGGTTTTTGGGAACCAGCGATTAACTGAGGTTTCATTTGAATGAAACTAATGTTGGTACTAATATCGGTATCAATATAATCAATCAATTGGTCGTGAATTGTCTGGAATAGGAACGAATTCTCTTTGAATCGAAAATCATTATATTCTATCTACTTTCCAACCACAATAGTATAGTATTTCCAATACCAATTGGAACAGCACAGATAAGGAATTCCCGCCTCGACATAGGCGTCGGCATATTATTTTTCAGTGGTAGTTTTTCAGTTACTTATTTTTACAATCATAGCCATTGCTCACCCCATGAAAAAGTTATCTCAACTGAATTTTTGCACCATGGGTGATTATGAAAACCTTCGAAATTTAAGGTAGTTGATTTCCGAGTTGAAAACTCTAAAATACAATGAAAACAGAAATAATCACACCGAATTCTCGTCAAACAAATATTTACAAAATAATAGAGGCCAACAAAATTGCTGGAAAAATCAAAATTCTTCTTCGCTATATCCGGATGAGGTGGAATCATCATCGGGTTGAATAAAGGTGTTAGGGTAATTGATCTCTAGAAAAAGTTTTCAAAAATCGGTTTGCAAAACCACTCACTACCTCACCTAACCCCACGAACACACGGCACTGATAAAGAATTATGGTGAAACGGACAAAAAATTAGTATTCAGCCAGTCCAGCTAGTCGAGCCTTAATTCCTCAACTACATTTGATAGCACGTTTACTAACTATCTGGGCGACTAGGGGCCACAGGCAAGAAATGGTTATGACTGTACTCTTATTTTTATTGCCGTTCCAATTGGGAATGGATAGACTATAACAATTATTTCATAGCCGTTGATTTTTTTGTTGTTCTCTTACAGATTCGACGTCTCCCAACTAAACTGCAACGAGGACATTTGCGACTGCGAAAAATACCAGTTTTCTCCAATCTGTGGCGAAGACGGTAAAACGTATCTATCGCCCTGCCATGCGGGCTGTAAGAATTATACGGAAAAAGACGGGAAAATAGTACACTACTCGGATTGCGTGTGCTTGGACCCATCAAACACGACGCTCTTCAACAATTCGATGTACGGCAACGCCACGTTGGGGTACTGCGACCTCCAGTGTGACAGTTTTGTACTGTACATAATATTGTTCTCGTTCTTTGTTTTCGTTCATTCCACGTCAGAAGTGGGATCGATGCTGCTCATTTTGAGGTGCGTTGACCCCAAAGATAAAGCCATGGCGCTGGGATTGATACAGTTCGCGATAGGACTTTTTGGCAACGTTCCTTGTCCTATAATTTACGGCGCAGTTGTCGACTCCGCCTGCCTGGTATGGAAAATGGCCTCCGGTGAGACCGGAGCATGCGGCCTCTACAATTCCGACATGTTCAGGATGTTTTTCCATGGTAAGTCATTGTTTTTTAACTAGAATCAACTCCCAGGGGGGTATACTCAAACACACGTGGAAGTGAAATAAGGCCAGTGGCATTATCCTCAGAGCTTTGGTTAGTGCAGTAAAATTAGCCTTTAATCTGGGAATCCCAGAAACAGCTTTGAAATTGCAACTTGTGAGTTAGCCTCCAATTTGAAGGTGGTGAAAGATATTCATCGAATGCATTCCTTAAACAAGTATCTGACAGAAATGACACTTTTATACAACGTAAAAATTCTTGTTTCTGGGATCAATTAGATCTCCAGATTCTCTTCAAGAATTATTAATACGTGTTTCAATCACCAAGCGATCATCTTCAAGAGAAAGAATAAACTAAATATACATACAATGAATTTCACTAGTTCGGACTTCCATTGTCTACACAGACCTTGTTTGGACCCATCAACACAACATCGAGTGGTCCCAAGCTGAGATCTTGCACAGAGAGGAACATTGGTTTAGGAGAAAATTCAAGGAAGCCGCATACATGCTGTCCAACAACGTATTCAGCCAAGCCAGCGTAGAAATACGCAACATATGGAAACCCATCATCAAGCGAAAAATGGCCAAGCGAGTGGGTCTAATCCACCCTCCACCGCAACCCGCAAGGGTTTATTGTGGTTCACACCTATTCAAGTGCGAGTAAATGATTATTGAATAATAACAAAATTAGTTAGCTCTCTATCTATTTTATTAAAGGGGAACTGTAGGAACTGGAAGGTAGGGGGCACTATATCGTTTACTTGAACTATACCTGCGTCTTAATTGTCTAAAATTAATTTTTTACAATGTTACCTTATCTGTATGATGAATAAAATATTATACTATTAGGTATTGGTTGAAATATGGCATCAAAAAAACAGTGAAACGAAGATACTTTAATTTTTTAAAGAAATTTAGGTTTTCCTTCTATAATAACTAGAAAAATAAAAATGTTTTTAATAAGTCAAATTTAAATGGTTTGGTAAACTTTCAGAATTCACTGTGTAATAATATGGACTCCCCTTTAATGAAAATAATAATCATTATGTAAGGTGTCATTTGAAAATTGCTTTGCAACGTATTTTTAATATATTCTTGGCTAGGATTCACATAAACAGCGATATATTTCTTTTGGTCCACCTGTGTATTTGAATTTGGTGTGTCTACCTGCTGAATTTCTTTTCAATTGTGGATTCTATTCAGATTATTATGCATATTCAATAATATGCATACCACTCCAACATCTTGAATTTTATTATAGTCATTTTATCAACATTTAAATATTTTTTTTGCATCGAAAGTGTTCAAAAATCAGTAATTACATTCTGTGTAGTGGAAGTCCAGTAAATCACAAGTTGACGATTATAATCATAAATTTTGAAAGGAAAGACAGAATATACTATCTTTCCTGTATTCATGCGAATTGAACAGTATAAAAAATTAACAAACTGGGCCACAAACAATCGTTCCATTTTATGTACCGCTAAATTCTTGAATATTTCGAAAATAAACTTTAAAAAATGTTAGTTCCAGATAACCCCGTATCGCTACACATTAAGTGTACGACTTGTAGATAGTGAATGAGCACATTGATCAAAATAATCCACAGAATATAAACATTAAATTATCTACCTCAAGGGTTATCAATATCACTCGGAGTAGATCATGTTATTTTTATGGTATTGATAAAAACATTCACTTTCCATTAAAATTTCTCATTATGTGTTGTTGTTGTTTCGAAATGTTACTTTATATACGCGGAGAACTAGAAAATAAGGATAACTTAATTTAGGATGTTCCATGATTCAGTTCTAGAACTACAGGGAATTGTGGCTCAATGGGGAATGTTCCTCCTGACGAAAATCAAGTAGTTTTCATAAACGAGCTCTAAAACAACGCATTTTAAACTTATCATTTCAACTTTTTTCTTTAAAAAAATATTTAAATACTTAAAAAAAGAAGAATGAAATAATGCATTCAACATTTAAAGGGATTCGTTTCTATTTCACCATTTGGCAACATCGGTTATAGCTAATAAAGGACAATGAATCTGTTACCTGTATGAGACAAACAAAGATGACATATTTCAGAGGCGTGCTGTTCTGTTTACTTATATTCCGAGTTCCGAGACATTCTGTGACATATGACATTTTGTGCACCTAACCTATCTTCCTCTATATAAATAAATAACAAAACAACTGTTGTTTATGTGGCTTGTGGAGGTGGTATTGAACTATAATTTATATTTTGCCTCAATTGTTGATTAATAAAGATAATTTTCCTTTTTTAAAGTAGAACATCTAGGTACGTATAAATTATTTTAACTTGATATAGGCGCTGTTGCCAATATGTGGATTGGAAACAAATCCCTTTAAAAATTCAAACTCAACATTTGAAACATTAATTTGAATACTTTTTGAAGTGAATTTGAAAAACTCATGAAATAAACTCAACTTTATTTTGTTCAAACTTGCATTTGCTGTAATAACCCAAATTGAGGAACATTTCCCATTGTCAGTTTTTTTCTAATACTTCCTTTCAGGAGTTTTGTTCGTTTCGAACAGTTTTTCATTTTTTTCAATGGCATGGTGTTGAGTGACACATCATTCAAAAAGTCTCTCCTTTTACCTCAAATTTTGATTAAAAATCGGGTAATTCGTTATCGATAAATTGTGTGGTAGCGAAAAATTTTTGCCTCAGGCATCATAAAAAGAAATGCCACGGTGAGAAATCAGGTAATGTAGGTGGCTACCTCAAAAACAATTTATCGCAAACAATGGGGTTTGTTGTCATCCACATAAATCCAAATAAGGATTGATGTCACTCCACTAAACTTTCTTCATCAGATGAATTTCACTGATCAATCGTGAAAGCTGTCAAATGACGTCACTGATTAGTTTGTGATGAGTCCCTTGATGAATTCGATTAAGATTACTTTTGGTGAAAAAAGTAATAGTGACCGAAGTTGACAAATAACAGGCTGCTATTATTGTCAAAAAAAAACTTCAGTATAACCTGAATTAGCTTCCACTACTATACTTCTCTTTTTTTTTGACATAACCAACCAAAAATAACAGACGAAAAACTATTTTCACTTTGTTGCTTTGAAGGATTGTGGAAATAAGTCCAAGGACACCCTGTATGACTTTTTAAAGTTATTTTCATTAGAAATGGAATCCACAATTAACTTTTTCATATCACCAGAATACCACTTACTGATACAACAGGTAAGTGTTGGTAGACAAACTTCAATGGAAAATTATTTTCAGGTTAAGATATTCTGCCAAATCTATTTTGTTATCCTTGAAGTTCGCGTTTTGCCCGAATTTTGCATGTCATACTCACGCATTCAGGTGGTCCTTATCTAATTTAATATTTTCGGTAAGGATCTGTCTACATACATTCTGGGACAAATACATTGTGCGTATAAAATGAATAAATATTTGACTTGGAGAAGGCATTCAAGTAACTGTTCGTTTGTACATTTGAATAAATCTTTAATGGGTAATAAAAAAATATACTGAGACAAGTGTTTACTTGGCACCATTACCAAGCACATTGTGATGCTGCTTTTATTGATCGCTAGCGAGAGTCCAGAAATCTTGAACTTGATCTTGACAAACAAACATTAGTTCTGTTTATAAAATGTTCGAATTAGAAACGAAATTCAACTGATAAAACTTTTCGGAAGTTTTCAGTTGCTCCGATTTTATTGCAGAAGAGATCAAAATATGGTAATTTTATTGTGGTAGTCAAAAGTGTCAGGAAACAAGTACTGGAGAATCGTGTCTAGAGACAGCTGGCCGAGCTTCTGACAGGTCTGACAACTGGGTATGAACGCTTCAACATTACTTTTTGGATACTTGAATTTATATAGCGATTTCAGTTGGAAGAATGATACTTTGAAAATTGTTGTCACATGTTCATGGAAAGACAAAGAGCTATCTATGGTTACGCCATGATTTTTAGCACTGTCTACCCAGTCAATGTATGCGTTATCGAGAGTAAGCCTAAAGTTTCTTCAAGCTTCAACATTTTGT